TAATGTTTTTTTTTTTACTTTAAACCGCATAAACATTTCATTACACCAAATACACAAAATTATGTTCTTTTTAGCAGCATCACATGACCCCTTTAAGACATGCATTATGCAAAATATGGTTATATGTCAACATTATTTTCTATCTGACTGTTTTGAGATTTCAACAGATCAAAAATATGCAGTGTTGTTGTCGAGACTAGCACACTTGAGTCTGAGACAAGTCTTGGCCTCGTGTTGACAGTTTGTAAGAAAATTGAAGCAGAACAGTGCACCCAATATCAGTGAATACCTCTGAATATGTTGAACAGATTCATTTAAAATTGCTCCTTGATACCCTAACCTAATTGATTTTTTGCAGTGTTGTTGTAAACTGTTTTGTCTCAATGTCCAGGAATCAGTATACAGTCCAAACAAATCTTCTGTCTAAACTTTGAGGGTAGTTTCAGTTTTCCTGAGCCACTGCTTATTATTAGCGCAGGTCTTTCAGTACTTATTCTGACAGACCAAGGGTATTTTTAGATAAGTAGCTAAAGCAGTTTCACAAACTGTAAAGCTTTTAAAATTGAGAATCTATTAGAAAGCTGATGCTATTCTTTGGTATTTATGCAGTCAGAAATAGGAAGGCCAAACAAATGAGCTCAGCTAGAGTCACTTGGTTACCAAACACTATGATGTTTGTCTTCTTAGGTTACTAACATAGAGGTGAGCAATCATATTCTGACTCACGGTCATTCACATGAGCCAAAAATATGTTAAAAGACCACTACATGAGAAAATTTGTTTTATTTATTTGGATTAAAGGTTTGAGATTAGACGTTAAGAATTGGGTCAAACAGAGAATGTGACATTTTAAACAACATGAGATTAGACTTGGATATCATTCGCAAAGAAACAGTCCACAAAAATGAAAAAGAATCCTGTTTTATTGACGGAAAAATTAAATGAAAGCAAAAGCACATGAACTGGAACGGATAATCCCCTGTCTGCATCTATTTTCAGTCAACATGGAAGCGTTGTTGCGTCTCAAAACCTAGTGAGCTAATTTACCAGAGCCTAGACAGCATTTTTGGCCATCACAAACCTAAAATTAAATTCGAAAATTTGAAACGGGCCCAAAACAAAGCTGCCTAGACAAGTGGCTCAATAGGTTTTAGGAGTCATCCAGTGTGTCTTAATGCAAAAGCACATTTGACAATCCTAACGCGAAGCCGCTTAACAGAAAGCGCTCTTTCCATCCTTTAAAAACACCATAACAGCAGTTCTAATCTGCTAAAAGCTGATCTTGCATGTTAGATCATGTGCTGCCATGTAAATCTGCAAAGACTGACAGCTGATTCACATGATGTAGCAAATCATATTTCCTCTGTCTGTCCACAACCTTTGACTGGAGTTTAACAAGAAGAAAAGAGCTCGTTTTACTCTTATAACGACAAAGATACATGACATGCTTTTAAAGCCAAGCCTTTGACTTCAACAAATACACATCATCATCGCTTTTGGGATTCGAAGAGACATGATCTGACAACTCTTGAAAACTGTCAGGCTGGCTCAAGTTTGTGCTAGGCTACAAAGAGATACGTTACACTAACGTTAGCTACAGTCACAACAACAAATAATCGCCACACTTACCCACTGTGATAATAAAATGATGGTCCATAAAAGACAGAAAAGCTGTTTTCTCCCCGGTAGAAGCATCGCTCCTCTGACTCCTGAGCTCTTCTCTAGAGTAACTCTCATCTGTTGGGTTGAAGCTCTCTTATTTCCTGTTTTTAAACACAGTCCAGCCTTCCTCTGACTGGATATTCGTGGGATTCAGAGTTGCTGCCACCTACCGGTCTAGAGTGTGTAATGCAGAGCCACTGAGAGATTCAAAGGCTCTTGTTTAATGTAGCGATGCCATCTAGAGGAGGAATCTGAGAACTGCACCTAATATGGCGACGGCGTGGCTCATGAATGTTAATTAGTAACGCGACGTTTGCCAAGCAGGCCTAGTTGATTTGTTGAAGGCCAATGTTACGACTGGACGCGTGATTGACAATATTAATATTCATGAGCCAAGCCTGTTCTGTAGAATAGGCTGTCATGTTTCGAAACTATGAAAGTATTAGGCCAAGTATTTTCAAAGAAGATATTAAAATCTACATTAAATCTTTATGTACCTCCAGTAAAAAAAAAAAAAAAGGCAACTAAAACTTTGAATGTATGGTCACTTTTTGGCCTTTTTGTATAATTTTTATTTAATAATTAATGCATGTTTTGTAGGAAAGATTATGTTTATTGTTGTGTGATCTGCTTATGTATATGTATATATATATATATTTATTTTTTTATTTTTGTTTTATGTATTTTTCTCTCTCTCTCTTGAATTTTTTGTTTGGCCATCCTTGAATGCCTGGCTTTTGCCCTTGGCGTTTTTCACATTTGTATTTCCTAAGCAAGTGTTTAATTTAAAAACAACAACAACAAAATTAGGCCAAGTATTGTCCACCCATAACATTACAACTTTAATCATTTAAATAAACTATTAGCTGATTTTATATTATATTTAGGTTATTTTAGCAATCATGATGAATTATGTTTTTTTGAGGTTACTATTTCATTTTCCCCTTTTGTAACAAGTTCATTATATGACAGTTTAAACAGATTTTTATGGTTTTTAACAATATTCTCAAAACATTAGCACAAAAACATTGTTTATACATCATTCATGGAACTATTTTTCTTAAATGTTTTAGTTGGATGTTTGTCTAACATTTTTAAATGTTACTATTTGTTTTAGAACATTCAGAGAACATTCAAAAGTAACAATCCAATAATGTTTGCAAAATTATATACTGAATGTTCCCTTAAAGTTTGTATAACCAAGAAAAAACAAATAAATAAATATATAACAAATAAACACACACATTTTGAATGTTCAGAGAAAAAAATAAGACATAACATCTTCAGAACTAGGAACATTAGCAAAACATTCTTAAAGCATATTTTTGTTAGCTTGATATAAGCCACCAAAACACTGGTTCTTTAACCTTTGATCTTTTTCACATGTTTGTGATCATGAAAGTGGGTGATATGCATAACTGTTGAGTTCAATCATGACTATTGATTAGACGTAATGATTAAAACAGCTTTGATGAAATTAGCCCTGATTAGATTGCTACTGTTGGTATCACACGCAATTAACAAGTACAGACCGACTCTTATAAAAACAAGTCTTTATTGATTTGACTTCTTATATAACAAAGGACAAGAAAGAACATTGTCACCATGTTTTGAGAGCAAATACAAATGATCAAAGCAAGAGCGAATTTAATATATCCAACCACATTACTTTGCTTTGTGCAACATAGCCATCATAGAGCTCAAGATATGTTCTGTCTGTGAGATATGTGTCAGATTCATCGAGTTACTATTACAAAAGTCAAGTAAGGTACAGGAGGGTGAAAACACATGGACGAACAAACAGAAATGGAATATATGAGTGACCCCATATGTGGTTTTTATGACAATGGATATGTTAGATACAATAATGCAAATGTCAGCCATATATTACAGACAGTAAGTACCAGTCATATGTTGGCCTTCGGACGAAGCTGAATCTATCCATACATGGATCATTGTCACAGCCCTGTCCACACAGCCAACATTTCCAGCAAAAACATAGCAGTTAAATCTGAAATTTAACTCAAATTTGACTTTCATTCACAGCAGAGAGGAATTAAACAACCTCTTGAGTTCAGCTTACATAGTGTTTCCGAAAAGTATTTGGACACATGAGTCACTATTAAAGATGTGCAAATGGCTCTGTATTAGCCTATACAACACAATATTAATACAAAGGGCATTTAATGCACATAAATATATCGCAAACATGTTTATTAGGTTTTTGAAGTATGAAGTAGTAGATAAACCACCTTTCAAATGTTTGGGATCTGTAATATTTTTGAAATAAGTCTCTTATGCTCACCAAGGCTGTACTTATTTGATCAAAAATACAGTAAAAACAGTAATATTGTAAAATATTGTTACAATTTTAATGTATTTTAAAATGTAATTCACTCCTGTGATGACAAAGTTTTTAGCAGCCATTACTCCAGTCTTCAGTGTCACATGATCCTTCAGAAATCGTTCTAATATGCTAACTTGGTGATTAAGAAACATATCTTATTATTATGATTTTAAGTAATGCTGAAAATAGTTTTTTTTGCTTAATATTTTTTGAGGGAATTTTTTTAGGATTCTTTAATGAAAGTTCAATTTTTTGTAACAATGTTAAAGGCTTTACTGTCACTTTTGATGAATTGAAACTTTGCTGAGTAAAAATACGAATTATTTTTCTTTAATAATGTCTTACTGAATCCAAAGTTTTGAAAGATGTCACATACTGTAATATTTCGTATCTAATGCAATGGATTTTTAAAAGTGACTTAAGTGTCCAAGTACTTTGGTGCAACTATATCTTTAAAAGTTTAATGATTACAGACACTACTGAGCACAGTACAATGGTGTTTTCTCATTTCAAACATTATTAACATGACTGAAACCAGATTACCTAAAAGCAGTCTTTACATGGGTCGACAAGCTTGTTTCATGATATGCCATTTCATGCATGTTTCCACTGGCATCGATGTGGGATTCATATCCTGTTGTCATTCATAGTCACTTTGGAGAGAGCCACAGTTGTTTGATCCAACCAAGTCTAGCTCAAAACCAAACAAGCATATTTGAAAGGTAGCCCAGGTTATGAAAAGCTCTTTCTGCAAAATGTTTGCCTGCGTATCCGCTATAAATAGATGTCCTTCCATCTTTATCTACTGTAAAGTGGCTCATTATTAACAGTTACTCTTCTCCATAATGTGCTAGTGCACTTCCAGCCCCATATATTCTGCATTTTCCGCAGCCGGCAAGTGGCCGTTGGTGTGTGTTTTGAGCTCCAGGGGGCAGAAGTCCTGCTGGTAGTCTGGGTTGTCCATGCTGTTCTGGGGGTTGAAGCCCTGTACGCTGAAGAACGGCTGTCTGGAGAGAAGCTGTGTGTGGGATGTGTTCAGATACTCAGGTGGGGCGGCAGCAGCAGCAGCAGCAGGGCTCTTAAAGCAGTTCAGGTACTCTTCCTCAGTTTCATCCAGCGCTGATGAAGAGTGTGTAAGTGTGCGGGGAGGTCCGGGGTGTTGGTATACTGGGTTGGTCATGCTGGACATCAATGATTCATTCTGGTTGATATATTCTGGAAAAAGAGGACAATATGGGGTTAAATACACAAGTTATTAACGCAAACAAACACACCATTTCTCTTGGGATGCAAAGGCATTGAAATATAATTTCTTCTTCCATTTTTTTTCTTCCATTTGAAAAGGTGCTTCACACAACCTTGTATGACTTCATTATATATTTTGAAAAAGGTAACTCTTCACAATGCGCAAAATTTAAACATTCTGAGATTTGAAAGTGAAATCTGAAGTGTTTTTCGTGAAAAGAGACTTAAAGTTTGGGCTGCTCCTAATGCAAAAACTTAGAGCCCACAAGTGACGTGACATGTGGCCAAGTATGGTGACTAGGAATTAGTGCTCTGCATTTATCCCATCCTAAGTGCACACACACAGCAGTGAACACACACACACTGTGAACACACACCCGGAGCAGTGGGCAGCCATTTATGCTGCGGCACCCGGGGAGCAGTTGGGGGTTCGGTGCCTTGCTCAAGGGCACTTCAGTCATGGTATTGAAGGTGGAGAGAGTGCTGTACATTCACTCCCCCCACCTACAATCCCTGACGGTACGAGACTCGAACCCGCAACCTTTGGGTTACAAGTCCGACTCTCTAACCATTAGGCCACGACTTCCCCCCACGTACAAGTAGTGTATACTGTACGTGCCTGACAGCCTCTGATGATTTTGATTTATGTAAAAGCAGTGTGAAAATTCTTAAAATTTTGCTTTGGAACAGCTTTGAAAATACACAAGGGTCAGTAAATTATTGTGCCTGACAGCCTCTGATGATTTTGATTTATGTAAAAAAGCAGTGTGAAAATTCTTAAAATTTTGCTTTGGAACAGCTTTGAAAATACACAAGGGTCAGTAAATTATTACATTTTTACTCTCCCTTTAAGAGTGCAAATCAGAGCAAACCAAAAGAATGCAAGATCAACATTAAGCAACATTGAGGTGCTCATTTCACCATAAAATAAAATGTGCCTCTTTATGCCATTTTTGTCCTCCTTCAGCATATTTTAATTTCAGGAGATATTACAAGAGATAAGATGATAATATGTCTAACAATATGTGAGACCATTTGAACAAGTTAAACACTTTAACTCTCTAAAGTCTTTAAAAAACCCCTCCATCCTGTGCTCGTACCATTCCAACCTGGAGCGGGCTGGAAGTCTCCCTCGTGGAAGCGTTCTGTCGGATCTGGGATGTAACGCAGAACCATGCTGTTCTCCCTTCCTGGGAAACCATTCTGAGAGAAAATAAAAGTATATTACTTAGCAAGTGTCATTTTGGTTAAACAGGTTTCATTTCCTGTAATTGTCAATAGGTGACTGGCTAGAAGATTACAAAAGCACAGCTGGGTACAGTTGTGTAGCAAGTAGACCTTTGTCTTACATTTCATTTTTATATTGCGTGTTTCTTCAGCTATACACACTTTTATGTCCAGGTTGATCAATTCTTATTAAAAAATATAATGTATTTTGACCCAAAATATGAAAATACATATATATATATATATATATATATATATATATAAAAAAAAAATTTCTTTCTAAAACTATGATCATTTG